AGCATAAAAGTTATTATTAAATTTGGGTTTGCAATGTCAGGCCCAGCTCAAATCACATCACTTTGTTCCTTGATTTTTGATAGTCCCTTCTGAAACAAACAGAATAGTAAAAATTTTTTGATATATTATTTGGGATAAAAATCAGGCTAGAATGGCTAAATCAAACAGTATAATTTGTGATATCTGAAGGTTAATTCCTAGCCAAGTTTAATATCATCATCTATATTTGAGTTAAATTGCAATAGAGATTTAAATTCAATAATTTAATTCATATTGCTAAAATGGATTCGTGGACGATCAGAAAACCTTTTTGGATATCTTTTGGATTTTTGTTCCAGAAACCCTATTTTCACCTTACTGCTCTTATTGCATATGGAATATCAGTCTTTCTTTTGAATTTTTTTGCAATATTATTAAATTTAGCATGATTATTAGGAAATCTATTAAAAAAAACAAAAGCATTAGTAATATATTTTATTTATTTAGTAATAAAATTTAATTTTAATTTTCTTATCTAATTTTTAAATAAAGAAAATGACATTTAATCATATATAAAACAAATCTAATTATATAGTATATAATTGACTCTCCTAATGCAAATAATACAAATAATTGTATAAGAGTTTGATAACTTAATAACTTTGACTAGTAGCTAAAAACTATAATGTCACAAAAATTTTGTTATTTTACTATATATTCATTCAAATGCAACTTGAATTATTCTAAGTAACACTTAAATTCTATATTTTTCTAACTATTACAAATGTTATTAAGCTAATAAATATTATGAATTCTTCTTGCTTGCCTTTAAATTATATTTAAAGAATTATTTCTTTCAATAGCATTTATATATTCATAAAAAAAATTGATAAATCAACATCATCATCAGTAGATTCTTCAAAAGATGAATCTTTATTTTGGTCTAAATACATTTAATATATAATTGGAATTATAATATGTCTTTCAAAATCCATTATTATTAAACTAAGCATAGATAAATTAAACAAGTTAAAACTTGCATTACTAATAAATGTAATATAAAATTAGGATCTAATCCCATGATTTTGTGAATTTAAATTGGATTATATAATGATTTAATCCAATCCAAATAGATCAGTAATCTGATCCTAATCCAATCTAACAAATTTGTGAATACACTTATTCTATATCAATTGATTTAAAGTAATAAAAAAAAGATGTAGATATTTTTTCAAAACTAATTTATTATTATGCAATTTTTTGCATTTTTATATCATTTATTCTTTTCTTTATACTTAAATAAAAAATGACCTAGTGATCTTTGCTGTAACGAAACTTAGATGAGAACTAAAAGTTTAAGGTTTTATTAATTAATATATGTATATTAAAATTATTTATTAAGTTATTATAAATTCTAAAGCATTTTTAAAGTATACAAATATTTCTTTTATTACTTGTTTTTTCTCCTTCTTCTTTTTCTTCTTTGTTTTTATTATCTAATATTTCATCATCTATTAATAATCTATTATTAATATTATATCTTTTTAATCTTTTATAGGATTTTACATTAAAATAACACTTTTTATAGAATTTTAAACAATAATTTCACTGATTATTTCGTTCTGTAAACATATGTGATAAAAAGCATTTCCACAAATCAATTCTTCTTTATCAAAATATTTAAATTTTTAATTATAACAATTTTGTTATATTAGTTTTTATAATTTTATCTTTATTTAATTGAGTAATATTTGGATCATTACTATCAATCTTTAACCATTATTAATATTAATTTTACTAATAATTATTTAGATTTATTTAACGTTAATATTTACTTATATTTTAATTAATTTTTTATTTAAAAATATTATTAATTTTGAAAATTTTTAATTTTAAAATGCTTATCTTTTTTTGGTAAAATTGTATGACGATCAATTTCGTACCAATAAAATGAAGTATTATGTGATATTTCAAAAAAAATTTCTACGAATCAAATATTTTTTCAAAAAAAAAAAACTTTTTGACACTCAATCAAAATGCGTGAGTGTATTTCTATCCACGCTGGACAGACTGGTGTTTCAAATCGGTAACGCTTGCTGGGAACTTTATTGCCTTGAGCACGGGATTCAAGTGAGTATTTCACCTTTTTTTCCTTGGTTTAAAAAAAAAAACGCGAATAAGCTTCAAAAAAAAAAATAATAATTTTTTCTTGACACAGAACAAAAAAGGATATCAATAATTGCATAGCTAATAAATTTCCTATTTCTTTAATCATATCTAGCCCTGATGGTCAAATGGCATCAGACAAATCCGTAGGGTTTGCGATAACTTCTGTAATATTTTTTTTTTCTCTGAAACCGGAGCTGGCAAACATGTTCCACGTACTGTGTTCGTTGATTTAGAACCCACCGCCGTCGATGAAGTTCGTACTGGCACTTACCATCATTGTTCCATCGCGAGCATTTAATCACTGGAAAGGAAGACGCATCAAATAATTAAGCCCGTGGTCATTATACTATTGGTAAAGAAATTGTCGATCTCGTTCTTGATCGTATTCGTAAGCTCGCTGATATCTGCACTGGACTTCAAGGATTCTTGATATTCCACTCCTTTGGTGAAGGTACTGGATCCGGTTTTGGAGCTTTACTTTTGGAACGTCTCTCCGTCGATTAAGGATAAAAAATCAAAATTGGAATTCTCCGTTTATCCGCACTTCAGGTTTCAACTGCTGTTGTCGAACCTTATAATTCTATTTTGACAACCCACACCACATTGGAACATTCAGACTTTGCTTTTATGGTTGACAATGAAGCTAATTTATGATATCTGCAGGAGAAATCTCGACATTGAACCTCCAACATACACCAATTTGAACAGATTAATTGCTCAAGTGGTTTCTCCCGTTACAGCATCGCTTCGTTTTGACGGGTCTCTCAACGTGGATTTAACAGAATTCCAAACCAATTTGGTTCCCTATCCTCGCATTCACTTCCCCTTGTAACATACACTCCAGTAATTTCTGCTGAAAGGCTTATCATGAGCAACTTACCGTGGCTGAAATTACTTATTCTTGCTTCGAACCAAACAATTAAATGGTCAAATGTGACCCATGTCATGGCTTGTTGGTTATTTAATTTCCTCTATTTGGCTAGTATCATATGTATATACTATTTACTGTTTAGAATCAATGATTGCAGAGTATTTTGACGACTCCCACCTCGCAATGGTCATATCGTGGATATTTGGAACCTTAAGTTACCTGAAAGAAATCGTTGTAAAAATTGCATTATTTTTGGTCACTCAGGTCTGTAAAATACTATACATTAAGTTCTATCTTTTTTGAACGTTAAAAAAAAGTCTGTGTAGCTCCCGAGGGTTTTGTCCTTGCGGGAGTATAGGTATCGTCCCTTACGCAGCTTTTTTGAGCTTTTTTACTTATTTGCATCACTGAGAGAAGGTTTCGTCCCTTACTCTTGGATAGATTTCGATTCTTGATGCTATATGTAGAAAGCTCTGGATGAACGACATAAATGTTGTAAAATTGTATTGTCTAGTTACTAACATTTAACGTTGGTAATCTCATAATTTTGGAATCAATTCGATCTATCCAGAAAGCTTAAGGCAAAGCAAGTACGAATAAAACAATAAGTTGATATTTGCTTATTAGAATCATAGCTAATGGTATATTATTAAAAAGAATAGAATGAAGCCCAAGTTAACACACAGATTAGTGCGTTGAAAGTTTTAGATGTTGCAACTACCGACCAAGCGGATGAATTAACAAAGGGAGATCGTTTGTCCTTCCTGATTAGACAACAGTTATTATAACCAAAACGATGACGACGATGAAATCGACAAATAGTGATGACAACTCCACAAAAATAGTAAAAATAGCGTAAGTATGAGACAATAGATCAATATGCTATGGGAAAAATTGTTAATACGCTACTTTTGTATTATGGAGTAGGCAAGCACGACAATTATGCAATAATCTGTTAAAACGTCTCTTCATTTTAGGGTTTATCGTTAATTATAATATTATCTTGGCAATGCTCGTATCCAATGTTTACGACTGAAGAATGACAACTAATTATGAAAACTAATCCATATAATCCATATGCATCAACGGGGCCTGTATTTCCACTTGAAGTTTCTTCCTCCTTAAATGATGCAGTTAACAAACATTTGTTATTAGTTTTGTTATACGGAAAAAGCCATATTTGTTATTTTCGCGAAGTTCAAGGAATAAAATTGATGATTAATAGTAAAACTTGTTTACTTGAACAAGAAAATGATCCAACACAACTTCGTTCACACTCTCCCGGAAAGCTTGTGAGATTTTTGGTGGAGTCTGACGATCATGTAAAAAGAAGTGACGCTTACGCTGAAATTTAAGTAAGTTTTACAATTTTTATCGATTCATAAAAGAATCATTTTAAGTTTTATTTTTTTTATATCATCTAAATTAAAATTATTTATTTATTTTAACATTGATATTAATTAGGTGATGAAAGTGTACATGGCGCTTATCGCAACAGATGATGGTATTGTTTAATTTATAAAACAACAAAATTCAACGCTCGAATCCGGTGACATTATTGGAATTCTCACCCTAGTCGAGTTCGTCACGCGATACCTTGGATCGGTGAAGATGCATATATACATGCTGGAGAGTTCATACTAAGTAAAGCAGTTGCATGATCATTCAACGATATGTATGTAGTTTGACCTGTTTTGCATGATGTATATTGAATAGTGATTATAATTTTCACACTACATTTATGAAAGTGTTCCATTGATTGCTTCATCAAGGATGACTGAGGATGAGCACTGCTACAAAATCTTACATCCTGCTACTCGTTCAATTTTTCTTGAATTCTCAAAAAAGAATACGAGGTTCAATTAAACCATGCAATGAATGGTTCAAAAAAAAGGCCGGATTTTTCCTGTGTGGTAAAAACGTTGCATTTATAAACTCCGAAATTAAACCCTTGGGATGTACTCCGCTGCTGCGGAAGAAAGACAGCCTAAAGGTTCAAATGGAAGGCCGGAAGTCGATCAATCAACAACTCGAAACTAAAGGTGGTCCGAGTGAAGTTGCATTGTTAACAAACTTTGGTATGTATATCTGTGATGAATAGCAATTTATTATCCTTTTGACATATACCCATTTAATCATGTTTTTAGGCGATTTGATCAATTCTTTTATAATGGATTTAAAATTTGACTGTTTATACCGTTCTTGGTCGTTTCGTACTACTCGGTTGGTAATTGACCATACAACAATCCCATTGGCAGAATACTCGTTGAGTCATTTGGCAGCTTTGGAGGTATAATACATTTTATACTTATTATTACTTTTCAAGGAAACTCTTGCTTACAACCTTCTACTGATAGACATTTGTGAGCAAGTTCGCGAAGGATTACAAAAAAAGGAGCGAACAATTTACACCACCCTTTCAGATGAGATTTTTACGGAAACTTCCGGATTCTCCCCAGTTAAAAATATTGTTAGAATCATAAAAAGGCTTTTCTGAAAGGATTTTCTAATATTCGATAAAAGTACCTTTAAATAGACTTGAGATTTATATATACGTATATATCACACATTTTTTTGGCAGATAATCACCATTACTTTAAGTATTGGCGTGCATCGAAAAAATAAAATATAGATTACGTATTTCATTGTAGCAAAAATAAAATATTGTAAGCATTGTAGTTAATTTTAGTCATTACTATATACTGTATGCCTCCAAAAATAAGCACACTTTTTTTTTGCTATCGATATGCTTAATTTCGGGTACTAACAAATTGCTATCTTTAGAAGCTACTCAAGAAATGTTAAATGATCGCTTTTACGGTATATACTAATATTTTAATTGATCGTCTTGTTACATAATACGCGAATAGCATTAAAATAAGCTACAAAAAAAAAACAAAGGTTAAAAAAGTTGAATACGAAAACGAACTTCGATGCAAAAAATAAAGCAAGCATACATTTGTTTTACTTGAAAAATAAGATATCATTATATTAAAATAATCTTTATTTAGCGATTTGCAATAGAAAGGTACGATACTCTAAAAAAATTAAATTTTTACTTTATAAGCTAAATATTATATTTTTTTAGTAAAATAAGTTGAGATTTAACATTAACAAAAAAAAATTTTTTTAGAGATCGTACTAATTTTGCAGATCATTTTCATAAACTAACTTGCTGTTTATTATTAAAATTATATAGCATTACTTGACTTCATAAAGAACGACTGCTAAAGGCTGTTTTAATTCAACAGCAATCCATCAGATGCATTAGTTAAAAACCTTAAAATATTATCTAAAGCACATAATGCATTAATAGCAGAAATAGTACTATTTCTTCATTTCTTTAATATTTTTTTCTGTATAGGTTATTTCTAATTATACAGTAGGCCAAAAAAAGTATGTGATTTAACAAAATTTAGAAAAAGTATAAAAATTATATTAATATTACTTAAAGATAATAACTTTAAATTAATATAAATTCATTATTATATCATATAAATCATATTTTAATAATTATATAATAAAACAAAAAAAAAGAAATTTACTATATATATATATTTTTTTTTTTTTTAAGGTGCTACGACGCCGACTGATGACCCCGTTGCACTTAAACCTAGTCAACAAGTTGATACTA